ATAGATAAGAACTTTATCAAGACTAATTACATAAAAATAATTATAAATGGATGCAACTTTCCATATCACTCTAAAACTCCTAAAGTTGGAGTATAAAAACTAAACATGTCCATTGATAACAAATAGGACTAATTTGAGGCCCTCATATTGGTGATGTCAAAATGTTGGGAACTAGATCTCCACGGTGGACCCAAACTGGCTCGATCCCTACTATTTCCTTATAAACAACATGGCAATCAACCTCAATTCGTTATGTGTGACAATAGAAAAATCGGTTGTTGGGGATGTTCATGGTAGGTTCATTATTCCAGTACACCTTCATTAGAATAAGTCAATATTGTGTTAATGATGAACCCAATATAATTGATAAGCACTTCGAGCTATGTCACAATATTCAGACTTGAAACTTGATATGAAAACTATGTCCTGCTTCTTGCTCTACCATGATTGAAGATTAACTTACAAAACACACAATGACAATATAATGTAAAGGAGCACTTCTACTATGCGGACATCCTATCCACAAATGACCCTTGTCAGTATAAAAAAGACTGTGATCACATACACCCTTAAGGGTACCAAAAAAGTAAGTAGAACGACATCAGTGATTCATATGATGAGAAGACATGAACTAGCAACACATTCAAACATGATGCCTAGTTTCTTGACTGTAAGGCGGTTTAGTATTCCCACCATTCTCCCATGTGTCCATTGATCCTCAAGAAGGTTTGCATCATCCAGATACAACTTAATATTGGGAGCCATCTGGGAATCGACTACCTGACTACAAACATCCCTACGTTGGCAAGGATGTCAACAGGATACTTCCTTTGCTACAAAAAGATGCCCTTATTTGATTTGGCCACCTAAATACCTAAGAAGTATTTCAGACTTCCTAGGTCTAAAATATTTTTGGATGAAGAATTTCGAAGTTGTGATCCCCTTTGCATCATCACCAGTAATAACGATGTCATGTACGTAGAATACAAGCACCATTCTCTTACAATTTATTTGACGAAAGAACACAAATTAGCAATTAATCATCCCAAATATCTATGATGCTCGGAAGAATCAAGGATATGAAACTTGAGGAGTGAGTTACAGCTCGTAAAGAGATCTTTGTAATCTACATACCCATGTTGGCTCCTCCAAAGCCACAAATGCAGTTGGTTGTTGCATATGAACCTCCTCTTAAATAACTACATTGTAGATGCATAATGATATGTGGCTAATGTTGTGGCTAATGTTGTGGCTCATGAGAATAATTGCCTAAGCTACAATAATACAAACATCGACCATCTTGGCTGTAGGGTTGTATGTCTTCTAGGGATGGTGATATGGCAAGCTTTTGCATGGTCTTACTTTACGTGGGAGATGTTTTAAATCCAATTTGGATTTTGGTGGATAAGGGTGTAGCTCAACATCGTATCTAACCTGCGCACACACACACACATATATGCATCGACATGCATACGCATATGCATTCATAATTATATGTATGTGCTATAACCTGGCTTCAATTAATCGAAAATCTTTCATTAATAAAAAGATTCCAAACAGATCTAACTTTCCAAACAGATCTAGCTTTTAATCGAAAATCTTTCACTAATAACTGCATTTAGGTTGGTTTGGTACATGGGACTGGACAGAACAAAACTCACTATCTCACGTTTGGGGTGACATGAGATTGGACAAAAACTCATTCTTCCACATTTGATGCGACACGGGACAGGGAAAAGGACACGATGGGACACAAAAGGCTCTTTTTTTGTTCCACCAACATAGGTGGAACAAGATGGGATAAGAATGAGATAGAAACTAAAAATTACCTCATTTAAAATAACGCTTAGATTGTTTCAATGCTCACCGCCACCCATCATTGTCGCCACCACCACGAACGGCCACCGACAGCCACCTTCACCTCCTCCTTCACAACAACCTCCTCCACCAATGCTTATCGCTGCCACCACTATCACTGTCAGCCACCTCACCTTTACCATAATAATCATCACCACCACCACCTCTACTTCCACCTCCAAAACATAGGCCACAACTACCTCCTCTACAACTGTCGGCCGCCAGCAGTGTCCACGATCTTCACGTACTCCACAGTCACCGTCGTCCACCAGCCACCACCGCCTCTACCTCCACCACCATTGTAGCTGCAACATCCTCCATCGAGCCTCCACTAATTCATAAGGATCTTCCAAACCTGATAAAGCATAGTTTTTTTTTCTTTGTACATTCTGGGGTTTTTTGAAGTACCATTAATTATATCAAATTCGTCAACAGATTTGGTTCGTATTGTATATGTATGTATTTATGTATGTGAAAATTGTGTAAAAAAGTTCATAAATTATATTACTTATATATTTACTTTATTTGTGTCATTTATAACTATCATATGATATATAAAATCATCAAACAAAATTCAGGGCAACTTGTCTAGTCCTGTCCTATTCGGTCTTTGTCGTACCAAACACCAGACAACTTGTCCTATCCAGTCTTGTCTAGTCAAGTCCAATCCTATTTAGTCCTTTTTGTCCAATTCAGCTCAGTCATGTCCAGTTCTGTCCTGTGCAATCATGTTTGTATACCAAATGCTACCTTACAAAACAAAATGCCCCTTCTTACTCCTTTCCAATTGTATTAAACTAATCCCCCACTAACTAACTACACAATTCCTTTATTACCCTTCCATACAAAATTATTTCCCACTCACCCTTTGTTCTACACGGTACTATTTCCACTATTTTCTACCTCTATGTACATATGTAAATCTAACATGGGTTTATCATTATGTAACCATTAGAGATGCTAGACAAGGTTTGAGAGTTAGTTAAGATGGAGTTTGTTAAGGGGCTTCCTTGATTGAAGGGGTATACGGTAATTGCAATGGTGGTTGATCTCTTGGGTAAATATGTGTACTTCATCCCTCTATGACACCCTTATATAGTAGTGACTATGGTGTATGCATGCATGTATGAGGTGGTGACGCTATATGGGTTCTAGAGTCGATTGTGACGAATCAAGATGAGGTTTCCTTGAGCCATTTTACAAAGGAGCCATTCAGGATGCATGTAATAGTCCCAAAAAGAAGTATAATGTATCACCCACAGTCACAAACCATACATGGTGTTGAAGCGTATTTTTGAGATGTTTTGTTTCAAATACTCTAAAGCAATGAGTGAGTTAGTTGTCATGGACAAAATATTGGTATGACACATGGTATGGTGAGCTCTATCCCATTCATAGTTTCTCAAATAGCACAAAATTTTGATGAGCTCATGCGCCATTTGTTGAAGGCTTAAGTGCTCAACAGTTAATGAAGAAACAACTAGATGACCATCATTGGAAGGTGTACTTTTGAGCCATCAATAAGAAGTACCTAAATCTTTGTGTCTATCAACATAAATTAATGGTGTAGCAGAGGAAAAAAAAGCTAACATTGTGTTATAAAAGGGCATATGAGATAACAAAAAGACCACATAAAGGTCTTTTATCGATTACAACTACCACCTATTGTCACCATTTACCCTATGTTTCATGTCTCAAATGCGACAAGTCATCAACAACCATAATGTAATTTTGACACTTTTATTTTGTCCTAATTGAGGAGATAGAAGCCATTATGGAACCAGGAGAGGTCGTGCGAGTTCGTCAAGGAACATTAGGGTTGCCTGAAGATAGACAAGCGGTAACTCGTTGGAAAGATTTGCCAACGTACAAGGTCTCTTCCGAAAGGGAGGAATGTCAGGCCTAAGAATGGGATAAGGCCCTTGCAAGTCTATTATAGGTGTAACCTTAGAGTCTTAAGAGTGTAATAAGAAAATGATATTTTAGTATTTTGAGAGAAGTTAACCTCTGTAAATAGGGAATTAACCAAATCAACAGAAATTATGAAAAGGATTGTTCACTAAAAATATTACTTTTTCTAGGGTTTAGGAGAGACGGCCAACCTCTTGAACATGGCCAACAATTTCCTTTGCTTGATTGTTTCTTTTAGTCAATAAACTCCTTCGGGTTCTACCAAAAATATAGAGAACACTCAATGTCTCATTCCATTATCTAATAATCATTTAGGGACTACAACACTATTTACAATGAAAACTAAGGACTAACAATTATAATTCTAGTAGTTAACCTAACTACTGACAAATTGACAAAGTCAATAAATGATAAAGCTAAAAGCTGACAAATCATAATAACTATCCTAATAGTATTAGAATCTATAATGATTATCCTAACAAGGGTCAGAATGTTGTTAGGATGATTCTTTGAACAATAATCATAATGTTGTTAGCATAATATCCCGAAACTAACAAAATAAAGCCTACACATACTCATGATAAAACTACTCTCTCCCTCTATACACACACATACACACATATATATATATACATATATAATACAAGGAGAATAATCAAATGAGAACCATAAAAAGGTTACAAACCCATAAGAACCGATCTAATCTCAAATATATTATTTTAAATGAATTTTTTCGTCAAAGGCCATGATTTATGGTAATGTTCCACATATGATTGTGTTCACATTGTGAAAAAAATACATGTGGAACTTTTTTGAGTTCACATTGTGAAACGAAAAATACATGTTAAAAGGTTTCATATTGTAAAACACGTACATTTGAAACTAATACATTATGAAACAAATATGTGAAACAATACCTCAAATCCTAGCCTTCGATGAAAAATGCCCATATGAAACAATATGTTGATATTGGTTCTCATGGGTTTGTAACCTTTTTGTGGTTCTAACTCAAATTAGCCCTCTAATATATAAATATAATTATGGACACAATAAAGCTTCCCTTCATGAGAAACTTCAGAACAACATATACAGCCAGCTGTATATAGCAGTGACTGGCAGCTTACAGCTAGAAGCATTTAAACAGCCATATCGCTCCCACATAAGTTAGACACTGCAAAGAAAAGCCTAAAAATACATAAATAAGGTGACAAAGGAAGAACATGGGTACTCACTCTCAGGTTTTGCAAATCAGATTTTTTAAGCATATCAACAAGTTGTTTTTCTGTCATCCACGAACAATTCTTGACACGTATCTCAGTAGGAGAACCTTCGAAAAGCAACTCCAATATACGAATATCCATTGTATGCACATCACAGAGCAAGTTGACGATCCTTCGCTTTAACCAATCAGGGACATCCTCAAATGAAGAAACTGCATCAGGATTCTTGGCAAGAACATTTAAGGAAAGATCCAGCAATGAAGGGGCAGGCCTAGGCCGATAATGGGAACTATGAGCACTCCATTCAATCAACTGTTCAGCTCTTTGTGTAGTGTTTCGATCGATAATAGCCTTAAGTTCAGCAGAAAATGAGCCAGTTAAGTTTTCTAACTTGATATTCCAAGAATCATCTTTACGACTGAACTGTAGTTCATAATTACGAACTCTTTTTATTCTTAATGCTCTTTCCCTTTTTAGTTTTTCTGCATGATATTGCCAAGTTACTGCAGCCAGTAATCTGAATGGAATATAATTCAATTCCATATTGGGGTTCACATCCCCTTGTGGAATTTCACTTGGAAGAGACAATGATAACAGGTCATCAACTTTTGCCTTTCCTTTTTCTTCTCTCGAGTATGATCTCCTCTCCGAACTACCACCATTGCCATCATTTATTCCCAGCCGAAGATCAAGATCTATAGTAGATTCTTTGCCTAACATTTCATCCACCTTCTCATCATCGGACGAGATGTCAATAACCTCCCTGACTGGCGGGCCATTAAGATCAAACTCAAGTCCGATTTGGTTACATTCTCCAAAACCAATCTCCTCCTTCATGATCGAGACATGAAGATCACTCTCCAGTTTCAGTACCGGTTCTTTTTCCTTCTTACCCTCCTGATCATCATCAAGCTTCTCGGTAACCCGAGGTTTCTTGTTCACAGTATCTGAATTCCCACTGCTTCCTTCAGAAACCCTCTTGCTTCCACTCACATCAGAAACTTCCCCAAACCCTAGATTTTGATCAGACTCCATCCGAAAAATTCCAACCAAAACCCTGAAAGGAGTTATGATAGATTCTTGATAAGCACTTCCAAGTTCCAACTCAACCCCCAGATCACAGAAGCGCTGAATAAACAAATAAATTGAAAAGAACATAACAATTGAATCCCAGTAACATGAAGAACAATAGGATATACAGTGATCATGAAATCCATTAAAGAATCCATGAAACCTTGTGATGGAGACTTTTAGAGACTTTGGGGAATTTCTTTAGCTCTTCACTGTATTGGCTTTGTCTACGTGAGGAAATGGTTTTCACATTTCAGGTATGCTTTTCCTGCGTCATACCTCAAATACCCATTTTTCGCCTCCCAATACATACATGTTTTCCTTTTTAAAAAGATCCCTTTTAATCAACATGCGACAACAAAAAGTTGTAAAAGTTATCTTAAAAAATATATTTTTAATCATGTGTTTATTTAGTATTGTTTATAAAAATAATTTATTGATTTGTTCTAATGTAGCATAGATAATAAGTAATTTTGAATGTTTGGATAAATAATTTATAGCGGTATCAAACTAGTAATAAGTAGTTTTTGAAGAAGTTAAACTTTTCTAATTTATAATAAGTTGATAAGTGTTTTTGTAAAAAAACAGTTATTTCAAATAAGCAATCCCAAACACCCCTAAATAAACATAGAATGAAAGTGCATTATTTTTTACACAATTCTAAAAGGTTTAAAAATATATTAATTTAATGCTTTGAGGACTTTTAACAAAAATAGTATCAGTCTATTTTTGATTAACAAAAAATACAGTTGTTAAATTAACAATTTAAGGTGGCGTTTGTTTTTTAAGAGATATTGAAGTCTGAAGTTTTATTTTACTTCTTATTTATAAGAGGTGATGCTGAAATCTGAATCAATAAAACTGTTTGTTTTTGTAAATTGATAAACATTTGAATTTGTTTAAATTGTCTATTTTATCCATTAAAAATTATAGTGTTGATTTTATAGATAAACTTATACAATTCACATATTTATTCATCATCATTATAAAATGTAACATTCATTTAAACGAAAATATGTCATTAACGGTGTTTAACACATTTACATTCTATTAAAATACATTAATTGAGAGAGGTGAGGATCGATTGAAAAAAATGATCGATTAAGGTTAATCGATAGAGAAATGCCGTTATTGAGGATTTGAAGACAACAAGAGACAATAACAGGTTGGTTTATATCAGATAAGAGAAAAATAAGACATAAGTGCTTCTGAAATATTGGAAAAAACAAACAGTCTGAATCGCCTTGCCTCTTCACGAATCAAACATAAAAGGCTGATAAGAGCTTTTTTTTTAAAAACAAACAAGACCTAAGACAAATTATGAAATTATAAATGCAAAAACACTGTATTTGATGTTATGGGTGTATGGTATATTGTATTGTTTTCTTAACCAAAGTATCGTGCTAACTATAATTGGTAGACAAAATTTATATCAATACCTGCTAACAAAGTCTATGTATCAACTTATTTGGCTACCAATAATTTCGATTGATACAAGTTAGTAATGGTACAATATCAATATCATGATCCTAAATCTATAAAGTTGCATACATAATGCCAAAAAAAAAGAAGCAAAAACATGATCGATGTTCGTTGCTTCAATAATGACTTCAAGCAAGCAAGTTGTCCAAAATTAACCAAAGAATGATTATTCAGATCATTGTTAATGAAATACAAAATTTAATCATATCACTAAGGGTTTGTTTCCTAAATGCTTATCAGGTAAGTGTTTTACTATAAGAATCACCGTTTTTACTTATCTTATTGGATAACATTATCGGTCAATGAAATGGATTATTGGTAAGTGTCTCTTACATTCTAAGTGTTAATCGGGTAAGAGTCTTCTCTCTCACTTACCAGGTAAGATTCTCAGTCTTTGTTATACCTTTTATCGGGTAAGATTTTCGATTATTGTCATATTCTCCTGATAAAATAAGGCATTGTTTGGTTCATGGCACCCATGGGATTGCAAAGGAATTGGAATGATCAATTCATTTGATAAATTTGTGATTCCGTTGTTATGTTCACTTCTTGAAATGGATGGAATCATTTAAATTTCTTTGAATTCCACAAATTAATGAATTCATCATTACTTGGCATAAGTGAAGAAAATTGAATTTCATCCATTTGCATCCAATTTAACCAATACTGCCAAACCTTGCCTCACCATGACCATGATACTACTAACATTGTCACGCCCCCACCCTTAACCCCTTCACCACTATTGTCGTTATCATAATCGCCACCCTACCGCCACCTCCACTCTCACCCGACCCCCAACCCACCATTAACCACTACACCATTGTCACCATTGTTGTTGTCGTCACAGCTGCCACCCCCACCTCGCTATCAACCACCTTGCCACCCACTCTTGTCCCCACAACCTACCCCACCCCCAACACATCAACTACTATGCCACTACTATCATCATCATAACCATCACCCTTACCTCC